CAGTTGAGTGCTTAGCTAGCTTGGTTAGCGTGCTGTTTCCACAAACAACATGGATACAATGCACACACAAGAGCTGCTAACTAGTGCTGAATGAGTGCTGCACAAACACACACACAAATACTCATCAATACTCGAGCACAAACCTCTTCTTGACGTGTGAGAACATTTACCTCAGAAAGCATCAGAGAATTTCTTTAAAAATGCCCCAAATGCACAAACACATCAAACGAAATCCAGTTCAGGGACTCCAAGCCATGAACGTGAGGACACTCAGACCCCTAATTTTAAACCTAAATAAAATATAATACACCTCACATTTGTTTTGAGGAGAGAAACAATCCTTTGATTTCAAAATTATTTTTGTAGCTGGCAGCTGTAAACAAGAACAACAACAACAAGGGCTGCTGCTGTGAATTTGGATATTTAAACATGGGTATGACTCACTTTTAGTGACAGCCTCACGTGGTCATTAGAGGAGCTGCAGTTTGTTTGAGCAAGTTTTGGTCCACAAAAAATCTGCATGAAGCTAGAAACATATTTGGGCCTCATAATGATTATTATGTTCTCTACTTATGAATAAGAGAAAACCCTAATACTGTAGGGAGTCCCCCAAAGATCAGTCCTTGAGCCTCTGTTGTCTTTGCATGCTTTCTTTAAAGGAAAATCATTCGAGGCCACTTATCAAAGCTATGCTAACGACACCCAGATTCATTTGGCTCTCTCACAAATGACTTTAATTCTGCCCAGAAAAACTGGAAGTCTGGATGCAACACGATTTCCTTCAATTAAAGAGAGACGTTTAAAACAAAGATGCACAGTTGCAACTTGACTCTACAGCCTGAATCCATGTGATAAATGTTAGCGTGATCAAAGTTTCACTGACCATAGTAGGGCTGTAACCAAATCATTTTACTCTTTCTGGCATCGTTGTATTATACTCAATTGTATATAGCATTTGTATTCTATTTTATTCTATTGTGTACAGTTGTGTACAGTATCTTATTCTTATCTTATTCCAGTGTTTTTTTTTCTTCTTCTAATTTTTCTATATAACTTTGCACTGTCCACTTTCTGCTGTAACAAAACAAATTTCCCACCTGTGGGACTAATAAAGGTTATCTTATCTCATCTTTTTGTCATCTCAGACAGATACACGTTCCAGTGCGATCCCAGCAGGAAGCTTATTCATGCCTTTATTTATTAAAAAAACACGACCATTGAATAGTTACAGTTAGTTCAAAAATACTGCTACAAGAATTTTAAGGAAAACCAGGAGTGACATCACTGTGATTCTCTGCTCCCTGTGTTTGTTTCCAGAATTGAATAAAAAATATTCCTTACTGCCAGGGTTATTTAGAATAAAAAAATATCCAAAATATTAATCAGTTCATCCAAAGCTGACAGGGTACACCATGCACAGGTGACCTGTCTATCACATAGAGACACAGGGAGCCACAGGTGATGAGAAATGAGCCTTGTGTGGTTCTAGAGCCACTGGTCTTCATCAGCTTTTCACCTTACATGTTAGCCATGAATCATTTTCTTTACAGGCCTTTTTTCTCTTCAAGAAACCAGCACTGTAAGAAAAAGTTGGTCCACAAACTTCCTCTTTAGCTCTGTATTGTTCATTAGTTTCAGCTCAACAAGCTGTTATTTCCCCTGCAGGCAGGCGACAAACAGCCATCTCCAGTCCTGTGCCCAGGGAGTGCTGAGAGGTAAATATAGCACAGGAAGCTGATGCTCTGGTCACAGCAGTGCTCTCTCAGGTGCTTGTTAGAAGATAAAAAAAAAAGGCACACAGTGTGAGACAGAAAAGGCCTGAAAACAGAGTTTATAACAAGCTGTTTAAACTCCACGATCTGATGCTGAAGAGAAACGTCATCTCAGTCTGCAACCATGGTGACAGAGCCTCTGTTAAACTGAATGCTAATGTCAGTATGCTAATACTGATGTTTAACAGCTCAGAGGTTGGAAATTAAGTCAGTGCCACAACTGCAGTACCTCTGCTGGCCACTTGAGGCTGCTTCAACAGTGAGTCAGCATCAACGGTCTCCCGCGTG